ACATAGAAGGTACAGTGGGGTAGCGCGAAGATCAGCAAACAGACAGAGCAGTGTGAGTTGGATGAGTGCCAGTGATGAGTTGGAAAGTCATCAGTATCCGCGCGATATCCAAAGTAAAATCCACAGGGAAATTACAATAATACAGTCCAGGCAAACGACAGTTCAGCAAGTTCAGTTCAGCAGTTCAGCAAGGAAGATGTCACAGTAGACGCGAAAACAAACAAACAACAACAAAAAGTTCAAGCGAGAAGCGGCAGCAAAGCGCGCACAGCGTACTCTCACCGGAAACCGGAAACTGAAACTGCATAACATGTCCTAATTCTCCCAGAAAGATATGAGTGTACGCCTCTAAATCGCATTTTAATTGATTGTACCGATCCAATGGGATTTTATACTGTAAAACCTTCCAGTCACCCAGTCTTCTTAACCAATTAAGATGCAGATGCATGCTGTTAATATGTGTGCCATATGGACATTGTAGAGCAAGTCTTGTTCTGTACTAGCTGGAGTTTACTTGAATCTTTTTTGGTGGCATTAGCCCGAATGATCTGGCAATAGTCCAGCTGTGAAAAGACAAGAGTACCTAACACCATTTTCATTATATCCGATGTAAAATGTTCACTGCATCGCCTTACTACAGCCAACACCTTACCCATTTAATCGACCGGGTTGTTAATATGGTTTGACCAAGACTATGTATTGTCAAGGGTGATACCCAATAACTTAGTTTCCTTCACTTGCTGAATAAGTGTTTTATTTATGTATAGTCTAAGCTCTCGTTCAAACCCTAAAGAATGCTTTGAACCAAAATACTATACTCTTGGTTTTAAATGTATTAAGTATCAGTTTGTTTTCTAAAATCCACTTTCCTATAGTGTCAAACTCCTCTTTCAAGATGGCAGTCAATTCAGCAGATTATACCGCTTATACTGTAATATCATCTGCATACATTGTTAATTTAGCACTTTTTAAAACGAGAGGCAAATCGTTAGTAAAGATTGAGTGGTCCTGAATAGCTTCCATTAAAAAATACTCTTTGCGATCTATTTACTAATTAACTTTCCATCCAAGCAACTGCTGAAGGTCTAAATCCATAACACTACAACTTGTCCAGAAGAAGCTTGTGATCAATAAGATCAAACGCTGCTGTAAAATCTAATGAGACCGCTCCACATATCATTTAATTATCCAAATCCCTGAACCAGTCGTCCGTCATCTGTGCTAGAGCTGTGCATGTGGAGTGTCCCTTTCTTAAGCTTCTGTTGTCAGATTATTTTCTGAGAAGTAACCTTGTATTTGATCAAATACTGCCGTCTCTAAGATCTTACCTTGTAAGCCTTGTAAGGCTTTGCATTTAATACATGACACATTGGAGCCGCAACATAATCTATGGAAATTCGAATCAATTTGTCATCTATATTATCTATCCCTGATTGTTTACCCTTACACATAGACTTTATTAACTTATTAACCATTTCTACTTCTAATTAACTGAACTCAAAAGACAATGTTTACGCCTCATATATTTTTTATGTTAAAAAATGGTCAAGTTGTTGACTGTTCCATATGATAATTCTTTCCTCGATTTATATACCTTGCTTGCTACCAAAATAATTATTCAAATAATTAGCAATTTCTTTGGGTTTTGTAATAAACATACCGCCACAGTCGATCAAAGTAGGTTGTGTAAATGTTTTCCCATTATACTATTTACTGTGTGCCAAAACTCTTTCCCATCATTAATTTTCCTATTTAACTGTAGCACATAATATTGTTTCTTTATCTTTTGATTAAGTTTTGTCGCATAATTCCTCAGTTTACAATTTTTCGGTCTATCAGTTATACTTCCAGTTTATTGTGCTGTTTTCTTAGCCTCATCTCTTTGAGTCATATAATCTTTTAATTCATTATCAATCCAGGATGGTCTATAATTCCTAATCATCATTTTCTTAATGGGGGTGTGATTATCAGTGACTTTTTTGAGAAATTGAAAAATTGTTCTATAGTCTGTACAGTATTAGAAGTAACTGAAATTAAATTACACAAAAAGTAAGAGATTACTTTTGCAAGGGAAAATGAATTAAACTACTGTAATTAATGACTTGTCTGCGTTCTAACAAGTGTTGGGTGTAATGCATTACTGTTTTATCAAATCAAACGTCATTAATAGCGGCTCTCTACCGTGATTTATCATATTATCATATCAGCATAACCATATCAGATCACCCTTTTTATGTGGACTCCAAAAGTGATAAAATATTAATATTAATTACGCATAATAATAATGTATTATTTTAGTGAACAGGAAAAGCCCTCACCCCCCTTCACATCACCACTGAATAAATTTTATGATGCTTGGATTATACAATTGTACTAATGTACGATTATAAGCAGGGTTTGAAATTAACTTTTTCACTCACCGGCAAATTTGGCTACAACATTTTTAAGTTACCGGCCATTCAGAACTTCTACTAGCCAATATATATATATATTATAAAATTTGGATTTCATACATTCATTTCTTATTTAAACTAAATCCTGTCATCCAGCTTCTCCTCTTTCATCCTCATCACCATTAACCCTCTGGGGTCCAAGGTGTTTTTGGGGTCCTTGAGATGTTTTGACATACTCTGACATTTGTGCTTTTTTCAGTTGCTTATAAACAAATTACTGGCAAAGGTGTAATTACACTCTATTTAGCACAAAAAGGGCTACCATAATATGTTATCAACATGTATGTACATGTTTGTATTTTTGAGAGAATATTGTTTATGTGTGGTTATTAGCAGAGCCGGACAGTAACGGAGTACATTTACTTGAGTACAGTACTTAAGTACAATTTTGAGGGATCTGTACTTTACTCGAGTATAATTTTTGGGGAGTACTCATGACTTTACTCAAGTACATTTGAGAGGTAAATATTGTACTCTTTACTCCGCTACATTTCTATCCATAACCGTGAGTAAAAAAAAAAAAAAAATTCTTCTAAAAAAATAAAATAAAATAAATCTCGGAAACCCTTAATTTGTTGTTTCCCTCTCAAACGTGATTGGATTGTGCAGGCGCCACTGATTGGGACAGCCTATCAGCAATCACCTTCAGCTTTCCGCCAAAATCAACTCCATGGTCAGATTTAGATTAGACAAGAGACGAACAATGGATGAAGACGCAGCAGGTCCATCCCGGGAATGTGTCAACCCGTGGCCCCACCTCGCCCGACTATTTCAATTTTCGGAACAATTGAATGATAGTTTTCGCTTCAAGTGTTTGCTGTGTTTACCCAAACAGAACTTCATCACTGCCTACAAAAATTCATCCTCCAACTTGCGGAAGCATGTCAAGGTACGTACATTAAAATAAACTTCCTTACATTTCTAAGCTAGATTCTACTAGCTACAAAAGTGCACTAAATGATTGGCTAGGTGCGATAATGCAGCTTTTTACATTCTCGGTTAGTTACGTAACGTTTGAGTAGTCGAAGCCACATGCACCCGCCAATTTGCCAGCTGTAGCTAGACATTCAGATGGCTAACTTTGGCCTGACAATAGCATAAGCCGAGGCAAGCTAATCGTGTAACATAGATAATCAACTGAGGTCCTTTCAGATTCATGTTTTGATGCCCCTGACAAATAGAGAGAGCATATTTTATTTAAATAAAATATTTAAATAATATATTTCCTAGTCTGAGCTCGAGTACGAAACGTCTTTTGTACCATACAGAGCGAATAACTAGAGGCAGGGGCTATTATTATTATTTTTTAAATAACAGTTCAGCTGGCCTAGACAGGATTACAATAGTGTTTGTAGAACTGTAACGTTACGTCTTAAATGCCTATTCAAGTGGGGGAACGCTCTTGAGTGTACTTATACCTGTCTTGTTATACCATACAAAATTGCTGTAACGTTAGCCTACAATTGTATTTAAATACATGAGAGATATGTTATCCAAAGTCTTGTATTTGCCTGACCTAATATTGCAGCACTTGTTAGAATGTCAGAAGCACCTAAATACTTTGCTGGTCCACGTAAATTAAAGTTAGTTGCACAAGTAAAACCGATTTAAAAAGTTAGTCTGGAGCCATTGGAAAATTATGAACAACCAGCACTTCATAAATAACCCTCTGGTCTTCTTCGGTCAAAAATGCACGCACAGACACACACACACACACACAAACATTATTGTGTTTGCTATTATTTTAGCATAATAGGTGTTCCTGATATCTGTTGCGATGCAACAATACATAAAATAATTACAGTTTGTATGTATATAGTTAAAATAATATTTATTATTAATATTACATTTATTCCTCTTTTTTAACCTTCAGTTTGATAATGATTGTTTGCTGTTATGTTATTTTATTATGTTTTTACTGTTAGATCATAATTGCTGTTCCCTTCTGAAGTTTTATTACCATTTATAGAATTAAACTGAATAAAATACCAATTAATTGCAAAATGTCTGTATAAAGTGTTTTGAATTATTACTATCCATCCCTTATTTTGTTAGAGTTTTTAATTATCAAATACTGACTAACAAAAATGCTTGCATTGTTGTGTTCCCTTTCTAACCAAATGTTATGGTTGGTTGTAATCACAATGCAAAACCTGATACTTATCTAACAGAAATATCTAAAAATATTAAAAAGTAGTCTTTTAGAATGTCTAAATATATATAAAAAATAAAAAAAACCAATAAAATGGAGAAATCATGTCTAAAAAAAAGGCGAATATTGCATTTATTAAACATTTTTTAAACTAAAATATATATCAATTCTAATGAAAAAAATAGCTCATAAAAATGTTATAATCATTGCATAGTAACATAGAAATCTTAAAAAAATTCTAAATAAGAATAAAAAAATATTATTGAACAAGAATATATATTACATTGGTTTTCCTGAAAAAAAAAAAAAAAAAGGCTTCGGTCACTTTAGAACGGGAAGAAGCCATGTGTGACCCCTAAACGAAGAGGACCAGAGGGTTAATAATACTGCTATGTAGACTACATGAGAGAACAGCCTGGGTATCTTTTCTAATATTTATTAGTTTATTATAGTGTCAACTGAAATATTATACTGTGTTTTACAGAGAAGGCATGAGACGCATCTGGAGGAATACTGTCAACTGACTTCAACAGCCTGCAAGAGGCCATCAGAAGGTGGAACAGGCTTCAAGGCGAAGCAACTGAAGCTGCTGGAGACCAAGCAGGTGTCTCAAAAGACGGTTGATCGGGCTATCCTCCGCTTCATCGTTCAAGGTCTCCAGCCCTTCTCCCTGGTTGAGAAACCATCCTTCCAAGACCTTATTGTAGAATTACAACCGAGTAGTGCCGTCATGTCCCGCACAACTGTGCGGCGCAAGATTGATTCAGCTACATCTAAAATGAAAGAACGTCTCAAGAACAAAATGAAAATGGTACCATACATTGCCACCACTACTGATTGTTGGACGGCCAGGAGAAGGAGCTTTATAGGTGTAACAGCCCACTGGCTCGATCCTTGCAGTTTTGAACGCCGTTCAGTTGCCCTTGCTTGCCGTCAACTAAGGGGCTCCCACACATTCAATGCCTTGGCAGCTGTTTTGACCGACATTCATGCAGAGTATGAAATAAGTCTAAAGGTTGTTAGAACTACAACAGACAACGGGTCGAATTTCGTCAAAGCGTTCCGTGTCTTTGGTCAGCAGGATGAGAATAACAATGAAGAGTTAGTTGCAGAAGGCACAATCGAAGAAGTAGTAGTAGGAGAAGATTGTGATGCATCTGATGGTGAAGAGGAGGTGGAATTCATCGATGTGGAAGCCATTCTGGAGGAAGATGATGGTCTTCAGTATCAGCTGCCGAAACATCATCGGTGTGCATGCCACACACTAAATTTAGTTTCCACAGTCGATGTTGATCGGGCTAATAAGACAGAAGCTTACAAGAAATTGTCCAGATCAGCCTTTTCTAAGTGCCAGGCACTCTGGAATAAAGCATCAAGGTCTCCTCAAAATGCAGAGCTTATAGAGGAACACTGTAAGCTTCACTTGGTACAGCCTAATTCAACTCGATGGAACTCCTCTTTCATGGCCGTGGAACGTGTGGTCAGAATCATTAGAGACCAAGGAGAGGGGTCTGTGAGAACGGTCTGTGCTGCACTCAATGTTCCAATGTAAGTAGCTTATGTTAATGTATAATTGTGTTCTTATTTTGTTAGAGTAATGCTTACCACATTATCTGCTGTAGGTACATAAACAAATAAATACATGTCCAGCATTGTACAGTGGTTCTGTTTACATTTTGTTGAAATATGTGTTTGTTTATTTTCTTCTGTTTCTATTAGGTACAGTCCGGCTGACATAGCCTTTTTAGGGGAATATGTCACCACCATGAGTCCAGTTGCGAAGTCCTTGAACATACTACAAGGAGAAGTCAACGTTCAGATGGGCTGGCTGCTCCCGACAATCACCACCCTCACAACCAAGCTTGAAAAGTCCAGACCGTCACTCAGATTTTGCAAGCCTCTTGTTGATGCTCTTCTTGAAGGTTTGAGGAAGCGGTTTGAGAGCATGATGTCAGAGCCAGAGCTAATTGCAGCAGCCATTCTCGTTCCAAGGTTCAAAACCTCCTGGACCAGCAATGACACAGTCCTACAGCTTGGTAAGGAAAATATTTTTTTTTGTTTGTTCGCTTGTTTTTTTCAAAAACCTTTACATCCAACAATGCTTCTATGCAGTTGTTTACTTAGAGTAATAATAACAAAAATATGAGTTTGTTGGTGTGATTCTGTGTTTCTAATCAAGGTCTTAGTTACATCAAGGAACATCTGCCAGAACACGATGAAGGTCTTCGGTCTCCTGATACCACATCAACCTCTTCTGATGAAGATGACTTCTTCACCAATGTCAAGCAGACGCATTCCCATGAGATAAGTAAGCAACTTGATGGATACCTATCCGCTACAGCTGAAGGAGTGAATACACTGGCCCCCTATCCAGCTGTGCGTAACCTCTCACTAAAGCTCAACACAGCCCTTCCAGCTTCAGCAGCGTGTGAACGGCTTTTTAGCATAGCAGGTTTGCTTTTCACCCCAAGAAGGGGATCAATTCATTCACAGAATTTTGAGAACCAACTTCTTCTCAAGTTGAACAAGGACTTCATGACATTTGATTGAATTGAAGTCCTGTACACACACACACACACACACACACACACACAGATTGTGATCAGCTGATTGCCTGATTTTCTTTAATCATTATTATTTTCTCTTCTTTGCTCTATGCTGCGTGTATAACACTGTCAGGTTCAGAGGTGTGTCACTCAGGACATTGCTATATTGCCTCCTTTGCTGGTTTAGGTTTATTGATTTCATTGATGAAACTCACATGTACACACAATTGTTAGCTGAAAGTTCTTTTCTGATATTACACATTAATGTAAGCCGAGCATTTGGTTTGATGTTCTTTAGTATGCGGTGTGTTTAACACAGTCAGGTTCAAATGTGGGTGCAAAAAATCCATTCAAGCTCTAGCAGAGGTTTGTCAGAGCGTTGCCATTGTGCTACTGCCTTGTGAGAAATGTTAAATAAAGCAACATGGTAAAAAGATGAAAATGACTTGATTTTACTTTCAATTCCTTTTACATTCTCCAAGGTATTAACATTTTTCATAACTCCATGTGTAGGACATTTCTGTACATAAATGTAAGCACTGTGGCAGTAGTAATGCAATATTTAGAAAATTTACTCTTGTACTCTTGATACTCAAGTACTTTTAAAAACAAGTACTTCCGTACTTTTACTTAAGTAGACATCTGACTGTAGTACTTTTACTTGTACTTGAGTAAAATTTAGCAAGGGGTATCTGTACTTTTACTCAAGTAACGAAGCTGTGTACTCTGTCCGCCTCTGGTTATTAGGGGTGTAACGGTACACAAAAATCACGGTTCGGTATGTACCTCGGTTTTAAAGTCACGGTTCGGTACGTTTTCGATACAGCAAAAAGAAAGAAATGCCAGAGAAATTTCTTATTTGTTAAAAGAAAAAAATATTTTTAAATAACTGAGTTTTCCTACATCTTGAAACTTTCAGGTTTATAAATGGGGTCAACTTTGAAGGATGAACAAATAATGTTTTGGTCATCACATTAAAAATAACATTTAAATATATATATATTTATTTATATATTATTTGAGTTTTGAAGAGCTGGAAAAAGATGTGTGAAGTACTTGAAAGCAGTTCACTATTCCAGCCAAACTGGTTACAGTTAGTGTTAGCCTACTATATTAAATCCATGGTGAATGTTGCTGGTCTGTGGACGTAAAGTATTACTAGTTCATTCACGGCACAATGTTTCTCCTGGTTTCCACGTCAGCGCTGTTTGATCTAGAGATCTACGGTTAATAACGGAGAAATGTGAATGCTTCTCACTAGATCTCGCAGTGCTGTTATTACTTCAGTGGCGAATTAAAATGTTTTCTTTACTGGATCTCTTAGCGCTGTGTTGTAACAGTGTCGCTTGATCGAGATCGGCTCGCGCTGCACAGATGTTGCTGGTCAAACGATCCGTGAAGCACAATATAATGAGTAGCGCAGTTTCGTTCAGCTTTCATTACGTTTGCCATTTGATGTTGCGCAACGTTGTGGTGATCGCGCCAGCGCGAATTTTGTCGGCAAGAAAAATGGTCCAAGGAATCGTTCGGTTTGTATGCGTACCGAACCGGAAGCCTCGAACCGAAACGGTTCAATACGAATACATGTACCGTTACACCCCTAGTGGTTATTGAAAAAACTAAAACTTAAAGTTTCTGAAATAAGGCCACAAAACACATACTAAATATCTGTCCACAAGACTTTTGACTAATGGATGTTGTCGCCTTGAGTTTTTTCTTCAAAATGATCTGAAAATCATCCTGCCTTATCATTCACATAAAACAATAGATTGGTTTAAATTTAAAAATGACACTTTTTGTTTGGAAAGGCAATATGCGCAGGGGTGTGACCTGCTGTGATTCACACCTGAGAAGACAATGGGCCCGCATAATGAGCGCATAATGGGGCTGCATACTAATGACCCTTTCATTCAGGTGTGTCACTGAGCCACAAGAATGTAATGATAATATATATATATATATTAAGGGGTGGAACGGTACATGTATTCGTATCGAACCGAAACGGTACGGGGGTCACGGTTCGGTGCACGAATTTACACGGAGAATACACGGTATAAAAATAAATAAAACTCACGTGCAAATTAATTAATGTAATGCGGAACTACTGTTAGATACGCGGGTTCTTTAGGGACACATAATCTGTACCATCGTTGGATTCAAACGTTCAAACGTTGGCTTTATACGCGCGTCCTATTCGCTTTGGACTAGCGTCGAACTAGACGCGAATTTGACGCTCTCGCAGAGAGAGAGAGAGAGAGAGAGAGAGAGAGAGAGAGAGAGAGAGAGAGAGAACAGTGGAAACATAAAAAACATACTCCGTCATTTTGTTCATCATTAAACCTGCAAAGTGTTTACTTATATTTGTGTACACTCGCAATAAAACACAACATTGTGCTTTTGTCACACTGTAAACTCTTGTCAAACTGTAACCTACAACTGTCACCCAACCAAAATCTCACACACACACACACTGTTTTAAAAGCAAAACATATTTATCCGACTCTATTTCAAAACAGTCTGTGGGTCCCATCTTTTGGACATTCATCATATTGCATTGGTTTCCATTTCTTGTCCTCGGAGCACTAATCTCACACATTCTACATTGATTAAAAAAAGAAAATCGAATGTGTTTTTAATGGTAGTATTATTTTATACAGAAATCAATTATTTATAATTCAGAAGAGAATAATGTTACATTGTCAATTAATAATGTTAATTAAAATTAAGGAAAACAAATATATTGATCTGAAATATAGCAAAATAATTTTAAATTAATAGTACAATTACCAAACATATCGCAAGGTCTTTTTGTCTTTTTATTAATTTAATTAATAACATAAATATATAAAACTATTGTCAGTGCACTACAAATAAACTGGTTCTATGCCTTTATTAATAAAACTTATTTAAAAAATACAATGCCTTCTGCATTTTTGTTTTGCTTTTCCCTCCATTGTACCGAAATCGTACCGAACCGTGATGTCTGAACCGAGGTATGAACCGAACCGTGACTTCTGTGTACCGTTCCACCCCTACTATATATATATATATATGCCTATATAATACAAAATTGATTCACAGTTCCAATTATTTATTTATTTTTCAAATTGTGCTTGCAAATTGTATAATATCAAATGTAAACATTTCTAGTAATTGTGCAGTTAATTCTCATACTGTTTTTACAGAAAAATTGGGAATATATCCCAAATGTGTCACTAATAAAACACAATACAAATAATTTAAAGAGGAGGCTTATATTGAGCTTTTAAGATTTACCTAAGATTTATTTATATGTAGCCTACATATATTTTTGCTATTTTAATAAAAAGGTTACAATTACAACAACAATTAAAATTGTAACTATATTTCAAATGTAATCTTTCTTTGTATATACTAAAGTATACATTTTATCATACATATTTCACAGTTGCGGATTAATTAGTTTGTTCGATTGTAGGCTATATTCAAACACTAAAATAACATCTTAGCAAACAAGCTTATTTGATGTGGCAGTATTTTACAGTAAAAACGACATCTTGTCTTTCATATGTAACATATCGTTTTTATGATTAGGACATATAAATGTTAATTTGCAGTTTAATACGTTGCTTATACAAAAATATTTTATTTCAACATATTTCAGTCGATTTTTACTCATCTCAGTATTGGAATATAGTTAGGTAAAAGCTGTTCATTCATTCACACACAAAAATGCGATTTATATTCAAACAGTCTTTTTGTTTACAGACACTATTCCATATCGCGATTAGCACAAAGCACTTGAAAATAAAGAATGTACCTATTCCTCAGCTGGATCCGTTGCTCCTCCAAATGAAACTACCTGCACTTCTGAGGTAATTTTTTTTCCAGGATTATTATTAAGATAGTATTATTCCTCACAGCGTCGTAAATATGAGTCTCTTTCGGTGGGTTATCCAGCTGATGTGGGCGTGGATCGCCTCAGAGCATTTTGTGTTTGAATAGAGCGCGCACTCCGTGGGCGTGGTCAAATTAACTTTAATGAGCTGAGACGAGAACGACTATCATCTCTCTCTTTTCGTACAGATTACATAAAATGAGAAAATTTGTTTTTTTATATAAATTACTTCATTTAAAAGAAGATAATTCAGGCTTCATGCCTGTGTGCCTGTATACCTGTTTGACTGAGTATTTGCAGAGTTACAGTTCATTTTTCGGACGCGTTTCAGGATGGACTTCACTGACAGAGAGAACGCAGAACGTGCATCATGATTATTTTTCTTTATTAGGCGAAAAGCATAACACTTTGTTTTTATTGTGAGGTTCCACAAAAAAAATACAAACTTAACAGGATCGAAAGATGTACAACACTTATATGTAAGATCAAAATCAACAGAGTAATTTGAGTCTCTTTTGCACTGATAAGGAAAAAAGTGAGCTGGTATCGCCGGCGAGACCGCCGACCCCAGAGGGTTAATGTGTTTTAGGTGGACAGATCAATACTGTACCAAAGAACATCAAAAACATGTAGGATGTTGGAAAATAAAAATGTCTTTTCTGTTCACCGAATGCTTTTTAATCTCCGCTATTGCTTCAATGCAAATGAACAAGTGCGCCGTTATTTGTTGCGTAGTGACGAGTGTGTTCGAGTAAGCCAGATATGTGCAGATTCTGTGCAAATACACTGTATTTAATATATGATGACTCAAATCTGCGCAGATTTGTCTTACACAAACTTCCCCAGCGAAGTGAGTACATATAATAAGTATCACGCCAAATGGGCTTGTGATTTGACAGCGTTACCCGCCACTGTTAATTTTTACCCACACTGTTAATTTTAAACCCTGATTATAAGAGAACAATTTGTGAAATGAGAAACCCTGCAACTCCATAAAATCCTGACGTATCCCCACACAAACCTGTCCGGAGTGGCGCTGGGAGCAGACCGGCAGCTTGTCGTAGGACAGGTGGTTCAGCCAGAGGTTCCCCTCGAAGCCGGTGTCCCCGGAGACGTCCTTCCAGCCGGTGACGACCCCCATGAGGTCTCCGGCCGTGAGCACGCTGTCGGAGAAGTCCCGCTCCGGGAGGCACGCTGGGAGAACCAGCTTCTTGAAGACGATCCTCTCCCTCAGCTCCAACACGGCCAGGTCGTTCTCCGGCCGGCCCTCGATGTACAGCGGGTGGATGTGCACCTGCTTCACGTGGAGAGTCTGCTCTCCGGCTTCAAACGAGCTCAGGCGCTTTCCTGCAGATTACAGAACGGACATTAAAGGGGCAGTCTGTAAGAATAGGTCATCAAGAAGGACATCGAAATAGGTATTTCCAATTCAAAATATGGGAGATCGTGGTTTCTCCCGCCTCCTCGGACTCAACGCTCCTCACACGGGTCGCCAGTTTGAGCTCACGCAACAGGAACGAGCGCAATACACAATGAAAATAGCCAACGTGCAGAATCACAGACCAAAACAATAACACACATTCCAGCCTGGACACGCACATTTCACAGTAAAATAACCGGATGTATAAGTGTTTTTTAGAGAAACGAGTGTGTGATCTTAGCATGTTTCCTCAATACATGAAAACATATAATGGTATTTTTATGCTTTAGTAGAGTAAAAAAATTGCATACAGCACCTTTAAGGCCTTGTAAGAATCCCGCACAGATAAGATTTTTATTTTTTACTTTATTGGAATGGTAAGAAACTTGCTATGTGAACACACACAAAAACGTCAAACGTCAAAAACGAATTTCCTCTAGTGGAAGCGTTCGGTACTGCAGCCGAACAACATCTCACTGAAAGCTCATTTTTTGAGATATCAGCCTCAAATTTGGAACTTGTTTAGATTTATGGCTTTGATTTTCTTGCAGTTTTAGAGTAAAACTGTATATATTTTAAAGAATTGTGCGATAACTTTATTTTTCTGTCTGGATCATCTCAGTGAGGGTTTACGCATGTACTGTATGGAGAATTTAGCGTTTCAGGCGTTTTCCAAAAGCTTCTCATCCACACTAAAACGTCAGTAAACGCCTGAAAACGCCAGTGTGGACGGAGAGCGTTTATAAACGGAAACAACGTTTTCAAATGTATCCGGATTAATGTAGACATAGACGCCTTCGTATGTGTGAATGTAAACTCACCCACGGACACCTGGAAATCACTGTACTTTCTCACACACTGGGCTGAGGTGAGGACCAGATTCTCCCTGAACACGACCCCGCTGCAGAAACCACTCGACCCCTGACGCAGCATCGCCTTCACAGACACACAACATCTTATGAGTGACAGCCGCATGTAAATGTGCAGTAAAGTATTGTTTTGTGTGCGTACAGAAAATGGGTGAATACTATAGTGATAAAGAGCCTTTTCTGTAAAGGGCTCCCAACTCTGGAACATGTTGCTAAGTGAGTTTAAAGCAGTACGTGAAATTAAGTCTTTTACATTGAAGGTAAAGCGGTGGTTTAAAATAAATCAGAACTGTACGCATATTTACATTTAATAAACGTTTGTTTTAATTAGTTATTCATGCCAGGGTTGGAAGTATCCTTAAAATAGGTACAGGTCAAATGACCTAGAATAGGTAGGTATGTGTGTGTATGTGTATAAATAACATGATGCATCAGTTTTATTCTATGATTAGTATTTTTTTATTTTTTAGAAAAGGGCACCTTTCTAGGGCATGAGACGTAAATTAGCTTATGCTATACTCTCAATGTGCAATACATATTTTCCAGTTTTCGACTGGAATCATGTTTTTGGTACTGTCCCTGTATAAATAAACCTATAAATAAACAACTGAAAGATGAAGGCTGTGATATTAATGTTGTCCACTAGAGGGAGCCACAGGATAATATTTTTTTTTTAACTTCATTGGAATGGTACGAAAAAATCATGGACATGATTCGAACAGGTTAAATGGTCCTGAATAAAATAGTCGCACTTGTGCTCCTCGTGGTCAAAAATGAGCGCATTGGAAATGAATAGGAGTGGAATTTTGGTACTGCAGCTAAACAAACTCTTACTAAAAGCTAATTTTTTTAGATATCAACCTTAAATTTGGAACATGACTTGTTTAGATTTATGGCTTTGATTTTCTCAGTTTTAGAGTAAAACTTGATTTTGAAAATATAGATTTCATTTAAAAAAAAAATATAGTATTTTTGTGCATTTTTCATAACAATAAACATAAAATTCTGTAACTTTTTTTAAGTTTACTTTTTTCACTTCAGCAATAATCTGCCAAGTTTCGTCTTTAAAAAGAGATCAAACTTCAGTCTGTTTCTCTAAAGCATTCAAGATTTACCACAATTTTATGTTGGAAATTAAATTTTCAGGTCTATGCTCAAAAAGTGAATAAATGGATTATAAATACAGCGTCAATATAATGTAGTACTATAAAATCCCCTAAAAATACAAAATATTGAATCAAAAACATTATCAAACTAAAATATAGTCATTTATTTAATAAAAAAAAAAAAAAAAATCCAACACGCGAAGAGCACCTAATCCTAATTGACCTTTTTTTTTTTTTTATACAACAGAAATGAACCATCACTGAACTTACTTAAGCTGGACTGTGACGCTATTTTCTTCTGGAAACAAACTTTGTTGCATTATTTTCCTGTTATCACTGTAAAGCTGCTTTTTTAAATATCGGTTTCCATCCCTTTGAACAGATACAGGGCTCCAGACTAACTTTTTGCCTTGGTTGCACTGGTGCGCCTAACTTTTTTATTTAGGTGCACCAGCACAAAATTTAGGTGCACTCAAATTTTTCCTTGTCTCGCGTCGCCTTTAACGCTACAATTTCAAGGTCACCTTTTTATCAGCTCCATATAAATTCATATATATTATGTAAATGCTTTTAAACCAGAATAAGGTGTAGTTTTTTTTTTATTATCATTTGAAGCACAATTATACTGTAGCCTATATAAAAATTAGTGCTGGGCAAGTTAACGCGTTATTATCGCGTTAACGCATTTATTAATTAATGCCGACAATTTTTTTATCGCGCGTTAACGCAGTTTTTTTTTTTATTATTATTTTGAAAGTCCGTTGCTCACTGGCTCTGAATACACATAGGCCTACAGTCAAACCATGATCACAGGAGGGGTGCGATGTTGGTCAGCCAGCAAATAACCCACCCAAACAAGCAGTGGAGAGGCTTTGGCAGGTTCTCTCAGGTGAACAGAAAGGGAGACAGCGCTCCGCGAGTGAATGACAGGCGCTCTATGGATAGTAACCATGGCAACGGCTTCTGTGCGCTACGCAGCTGTAGCCTTTTTAACTTAAATTAAAATTATACATAACTTTACCTGATAGGCCTGCGTTTAGTTTAGCGGGGATGCTCTGCCATGTGAATTCTCTCCTGTTGATGTCCTGATAACTATTTAGATTCTGGAAACTCACAAACAGCGAGCCGAGGATCAGTCTCTCTTCCAATAATTTGTGCTGCGCGTCGTGTACAAAAAGTTAGACTATTCAACTTCGGGAACGCGCGGGCGCGTGCGTGAGGCGAGCATGACCGCAACAGTTTCACAGGAACGCACCCGCTTGTCGCTGCACCTGTGCTCGACCACTTCACCTCACTCTAGGCTGATTTATACTTCTGCGTCGGACCTACGCCGGAGCCTCTACACTATAGACTACGCGTTGGTTTCCATTTATATCTGCGTCGTTGTCCGCGTTGACGTGCAATTACACATGCAGAGGGAGAGTGTGAAACCCGGGGAACGGTTCTAGCAATCACAGCGCTTGCGGTACGCGTAGAATTGACGTTACATTTTGCACGTCAGGGTACGCACGCTACACAGCTATGGCGTGAGTTCGACGCAGAAGTATAAATTGGGCTTTACCTCTGTTTAATGTAATCTTACGTGGGAAACCATGGCATGCCATGACCAAACCTAAGCTGCTATCAGAGAAGTAACGTTGGTCGACTTATATCTGTAGTAGTGATCATGACCCTTTGACTACATAGACTGTTTCTGCTGCTCCCTGATACAAAATACCTGTTCAGAAAAAAACAAGAAAACTTGACTCGTTTTAACAAGCTAGATAAAAGGTAATGCAGTAGCAAATAGCTTTGTTTAAAATTGATACTGTGTAAAGGGAATACTGCTGGTATAAAAGCACCTTATTTGTTTAAAGTTTTTGCAAACCACATGTTATTGCACTTTTGTAGCAGTACATTTAAATCAAAAGTGCGCAATACACTACTTTAGAATTTATTATTCAATTTTGCGCGTAACAATGCGATTAATCGCAAGAAAATCATGCGATTAATCGCGATTAAATTTTTTAATCGTTGCCCAGCACTAATAAAAATATAAATCAAGTTTTCAAGTTAGGGCAGGGTATTGACACAAATTTCACAATTCGATTCAAGATTGATTATTCTGGATATCAGGTACAATACATGGCAAATTTTCTCAAGGAAAACAAATCTCAACTAATGCTGTAAACTGGGAGTCAGTTGTTGCCAACTATGCTTCATTAGCCTACTATAATATTGAAGGTAAAAATTACCTGATCTGTACACAAACACTTCAATTACACTTTTATCTATTTTTATAATAATAAAGTTATATGAAATTATAAAAATTTTCAAATGGTGGCTGCATAAAAACTTGCCAGATTTTTTCAAACAACATGCATTAAATATTGAAAAACATTAAAAATTATAATGAATATGTAATATGGTGCATATATTAGACACAATGCTCCTCTAGAGTTAATTTTTCTAGCTAGCTAACGAGTTTATGGTCACTGGATATGTTTTTTCTGAGGTAAATGTGACGTTCCATTACATTGTTTGCAAGCGTTTTACTGACGTCTTTTCCACGGTTGAAAGAAACACTGATTGAGCGATTCCATGTGAAAGATACGGATTTCGATAAGTTGTACTCTATCTTTTAACACACTTTCAGATGCTCGTTCATGTTTATTTCGCGCTGTAACTGGTATTATTAAGGCGGAAAAGAAGATCATGTGCGCGCCGCGCTGCTGCTTCTCTTGAGCTGAGCTGAGCCAGAGCGATCTCACGCCACAGCGTCAAAACACTATTTATGTTTTTGAATTTTGTAAGAAAATGGACCTAATTTGAAATCTGAGACTTTTGTTTCATATCAATAGAAACAAGCACAAAGATTATTGCGATTTATTGGATGGGATGCTCGCTACAATGTTCCATTCATTCATCAACTGAAAACAGCATAGCCCAACGGTTCGTAAAAATGAGAATCGATTAAAATCGAGAAATCAATATTTTTTACCTAGCCCTAGTTCAAGTAGCCTACATTTTTAAAAGTTTCTTCGTCGTCTGATTTCTTGCGTTTATTTAGCTGATGCTGCTGATTGCCGTAACTGATTCTCTGGTGCTCAAGTCGCAATTTATTTCAATCACACAGCAGCACGGAGCATTTTAGTCCTACAGGACTATCTGAACCACAGCCAATCAGAGGCAAAGACCCGCCCAATCTCTATCTCTGATTGGTTTAGACCACGATATGATCCAACCATGCGTGCAAGGAGAACAAAAGACTCGTTTGTGGAGAGGCAGCGGATGCAATCATGCGAGAACGTTAGGTGCACTGGTGCGACCTAGGAAAAATTGTCGTCGCACCCTTACAAAATTGGTCGCACTCTAGAGCCCTGAGATATAAATGCCTAGATCTAGTTCATTTGTGTAACTATGGTGTACTGACAGTATAGTTTTATATAAGTTGTGTAAATAGAAATCTGTGAAATGCCTATAGATCATTAAATGTTTAATTAACTTAATTAAACCCAATAAAACATATTTTTCTCAAGTTGTCGCACACAATTAAATATGATGCTGTCCATTTGAAATGAAGAGACAATTTTATTTATTTTTAACTGTGATATATTATAAAATTTCTATAAAAGACATTGACTGTTGTGGTATGAATAATAAAACAAACACTTATGCGTTAAACTGCAGGTATATTTAGAAATAAATTATAAAAATGAAAAGGGCCTTATGATAAATGCTTCCGATAAATAAAAGTTGAGCTGCAAATTATCTTCACATTCATTTGAAATTGTCCTGTGACATCCTATGACATGCGATTCATCTCGATTTAAATGTTGAATATGAGTCCATGCATATTACTATCAAACCCTGATTTTCAGTGAAGATTCAAGAAGCATTTGTATGTAAAAACCTCATCATAATATACATTTCAGTTGCATCTCTAATCCTCCACATGTGCCGCTTGGGGCTATATTTGATTTATAGTATTTATTTGTACTATTGCTTGTAATTTTACTATTTGTTCTTATTTTATTACTGACCTGACTGTTTACTTGTTTTTAATCATGTTTTTAATCAATATTAGTTAGGTTAGTGTGTTTTTGCTGTAGTGTAGAAATCTGAACAGAGGATTGTGATATTTCATGGGCAGTGTTGAGGGAAACACATGACTAACACACTGGCGGATGAAGACTGGTGGAGGATGAAGAGGAGTGTGTAGAGGAGGATGAAGAGTAGTGGATTAAAACACTGGAGGATGAAGAGGAGTGTGTAGAGGAGGATGAAGAGTAGAGGAGGATGAAGAAGAGTGTGTAGAGGAGGATGAAGAGTAGTGGATTAAAACACTGAAGGATGAAGAGTAGTGGATGATGAAGAGGAGTGTGTAGAGGAGGATGAAGAGTAGAGGAGTGTGTAGAGGAGGATGAAGAGTAGAGGAGTGTGCAGAGGAGTGTGTTAAAACACTGGAGGATGAAGAGTAGTGGATTAAAACACTGGAGGATGAAGAGTAGAGGAGTGTGTAGAGGAGTGTGTTAAAACACTGGAGGATGAAGAGTAGAGGAGGATGAAGAGTAGAGGAGTGTGTAGAGGAGGATGAAGAGGAGTGTGTAGAGGAGTGTGTGTAGAGGAGGATGAAGAGGAGTGTGTAGAGGAGTGTGTAGAGGAGGATGAAGAGTAGTGGATTAAAACACTGGAGGATGAAGAGTAGTGGAGGATGAAGAGGAGTGTGTAGAGGAGGATGAAGAGTAGAGGAGGACGAAGAAGAGTGTGTAGAGGAGGATGAAGAGTAGTGGATTAAAACACTGAAGGATGAAGAGTAGTGGAGGATGAAGAGGAGTGTGTAGAGGAGGATGAAGAGTAGAGGAGTGTGTAGAGGAGGATGAAGAGTAGAGGAGTGTGCAGAGGAGTGTGTTAAAACACTGGAGGATGAAGAGTAGAGGAGTGTGTAGAGGAGTGTGTAGAGGAGGATGAAGAGGAGTGTGTAGAGGAGTGTGTGTAGAGGAGGATGAAGAGGAGGATGAAGAGTAGTGGATTAAAACACTGGAGGATGAAGAGTAGTGGAGGATGAAGAGGAGTGTGTAGAGGAGGATGAAGAGTAGAGGAGGATGAAGAAGAGTGTGTAGAGGAGGATGAAGAGTAGTGGATTAAAACACTGAAGGATGAAGAGTAGTGGAGGATGAAGAGGAGTGTGTAGAGGAGGATGAAGAGTAGAGGAGTGTGTAGAGGAGGATGAAGAGTAGAGGAGTGTGCAGAGGAGTGTGTAGAGGAGGATGAAGAGGAGTGTGTAGAGGAGTGTGTGTATAGATGAGTGTGTGTAGAGGAGTGTGTTCACCTGCCAGGGACACTCCTCCGGGCTGCATGCGAGTCCTTCATACTCTGACTTTATGTTGGCGGACTGACGTCGGTCCCACTGGCTCGAGCTGCTCAACTTCCCACACGGGAACAACACTGAAGAGAGAAGTGAACGTTTACTTACAGGTGAGTTTGTATTGCTTGTCATTACTGGTACATGGCTTTTTTGGAGTCTGGAGTCACACCGTCTCCTACACATGTGAGACCGGATAATCATGTGTAAGATGCTGTGAGCAGGAACTGAACACACTTTTCCCACACCCTGATCACACACACCCCATTCTGTGTTCATGCCACGGTACAGGTGTTTGGTTATGCTTTATTTCGATAGACACTCTACTAACTAAAAGTAACTTTGCAACTACATGTCCACTACCTCTCATTAGAGCATTAGTAGACCAGTTATTCAGTGCTTTAAAAAAAATAAAATAAAAAAAAATACACAATGCCAATGAAACATGCTTTATTGAAACTATATAAAGTTCTTTACTTTAGCTCTGACTATTTATATATTTATTACATGGCTTGGTTGAACTCTAATGTATAATGCGGTCTGTTATTTCTTGATAACACACCGTTGCCATGAAAAACAGAGCGTTGCCATGGCCACAGTTCTGTTCAATCTGGAGAATAAACTCCTTTAAATCAATAAACTCCTTTTTAAATCAATATTTTGTGTCAATTTATTGATTTATTTGGTAGGTAGCCATGTAATAAGCATGTGTGTGAGGTATGAGCTGTGACTGTGACAGTAGGGACTCACCCGTCAATGGTTGTGTGTGAGGTATGAGCTGTGACTGTGGCGGGTATAGGGGACTCACCCATCAGTGGTTGTGTGTGAGGAATGAGCTGTGACTGTGATGGTAGGGACTCACCCGTCAGTGGTTGTGTGTGAGGTATGAGCTGTGACTGTGTCGGGTATAGGGGACTCACCCATCAGTGGTTGTGTGTGAGGAATGAGCTGTGACTGTGACGGTAGGGACTCACCCGTCTGTGGTTGTGTGTGAGGAATGAGCTGTGACTGTGACAGTAGGGACTCACCCATCAGTGGTTGTGTGTGAGGTATGAGCTGTGACTGTGACGGTAGGGACTCACCCGTCAGTGGTTATGTGTGAGGAATGAGCTGTGACTGTGACGGTAGGGACTCACCCGTCTGTGGTTGTGTGTGAGGAATGAGCTGTGACTGTGACGGTAGGGACTCACCCGTCAGTGGTTGTGTGTGAGGTATGAGCTGTGACTGTGTCGGGTATAGGGGACTCACCCATCAGTGGTTGTGTGTGAGGAATGAGCTGTGACTGTGACGGTAGGGACTCACCCGTCTGTGGTTGTGTGTGAGGAATGAGCTGTGACTGTGACAGTAGGGACTCACCCATCAGTGGTTGTGTGTGAGGTATGAGCTGTGACTGTGACGGGTATAGGAGACTCACCCATCAGTGGTTGTGTGTGAGGTATGAGCTGTGACTGTGACGGTAGGGACTCACCCGTCAGTGGTTATGTGTGAGGAATGAGCTGTGACTGTGACGGTAGGGACTCACCCGTCAGTGGTTGTGTGTGAGGAATGAGCTGTGACTGTGACAGTAGGGACTCACCCGTCAGTGGTTGTGTGTGAGGTATGAGCTGTGACTGTGTCGGGTATAGGGGACTCACCCATCAGTGGTTGTGTGTGAGGAATGAGCTGTGACTATGACGGTAGGGACTCACCCGTCAGTGGTTGTGTGTGAGGTATGAGCTGTGACTGTGTCGGGTATAGGGGACTCACCCATCAGTGGTTGTGTGTGAGGAATGAGCTGTGACTGTGACGGTAGGGACTCACCCATCAGTGGTTGTGTGTGAGGAATGAGCTGTGACTATGACGGTAGGGACTCACCCATCAGTGGTTGTGTGTGAGGAATGAGCTGTGACTATGACGGTAGGGACTCACCCGTCAGTGGTTGTGTGTGAGGTATGAGCTGTGACTGTGACGGTAGGGACTCACCCATCAGTGGTTGTGTGTGAGGAATGAGCTGTGACTATGACGGTAGGGACTCACCCATCAGTGGTTGTGTGTGAGGAATGAGCTGTGACTATGACGGTAGGGACTCACCCATCAGTGGTTGTGTGTGAGGAATGAGCTGTGACTATGACGGTAGGGACTCACCCGTCAGTGGTTGTGTGTGAGGAATGAGCTGTGACTGTGACGGTAGGGACTCACCCATCAGTGGTTGTGTGTGAGGAATGAGCTGTGACTATGACGGTAGGGACTCACCCATCAGTGGTTGTGTGTGAGGAATGAGCTGTGACTATGACGGTAGGGACTCACCCATCAGTGGTTGTGTGTGAGGAATGAGCTGTGACTATGACGGTAGGGACTCACCCATCAGTGGTTGTGTGTGAGGTATGAGCTGTGACTGTGTCGGGTATAGGGGACTCACCCATCAGTGGTTGTGTGTGAGGAATGAGCTGTGACTGTGACGGTAGGGACTCACCCATCAGTGGTTGTGTGTGAGGAATGAGCTGTGACTATGACGGTAGGGACTCACCCATCAGTGGTTGTGTGTGAGGAATGAGCTGTGACTATGACGGTAGGGACTCACCCGTCAGTGGTTGTGTGTGAGGTATGAGCTGTGACTGTGTCGGGTATAGGGGACTCACCCATCAGTGGTTGTGTGTGAGGAATGAGCTGTGACTGTGACGGTAGGGACTCACCCATCAGTGGTTGTGTGTGAGGAATGAGCTGTGACTATGACGGTAGGGACTCACCCATCAGTGGTTGTGTGTGAGGAATGAGCTGTGACTATGACGGTAGGGACTCACCCATCAGTGGTTGTGTGTGAGGAATGAGCTGTGACTATGACGGTAGGGACTCACCCGTCAGTGGTTGTGTGTGAGGTATGAGCTGTGACTGTGACGGTAGGGACTCACCCATCAGTGGTTGTGTGTGAGGAATGAGCTGTGACTATGACGGTAGGGACTCACCCATCAGTGGTTGTGTGTGAGGAATGAGCTGTGACTATGACGGTAGGGACTCACCCATCAGTGGTTGTGTGTGAGGAATGAGCTGTGACTATGACGGTAGGGACTCACCCGTCAGTGGTTGTGTGTGAGGAATGAGCTGTGACTGTGACGGTAGGGACTCACCCATCAGTGGTTGTGTGTGAGGAATGAGCTGTGACTATGACGGTAGGGACTCACCCATCAGTGGTTGTGTGTGAGGAATGAGCTGTGACTATGACGGTAGGGACTCACCCATCAGTGGTTGTGTGTGAGGAATGAGCTGTGACTATGACGGTAGGGACTCACCCGTCAGTGGTTGTGTGTGAGGTATGAGCTGTGACTGTGTCGGGTATAGGGGACTCACCCATCAGTGGTTGTGTGTGAGGAATGAGCTGTGACTATGACGGTAGGGACTCACCCGTCAGTGGTTGTGTGTGAGGTATGAGCTGTGACTGTGACGGGTATAGGGGACTCACCCGTCAGTGGTTGTGTGTGAGGTATGAGCTGTGACTGTGACGGGTATAGGGGACTCACCCGTCTGTGGTTGTGTGTGAGGTATGAGCTGTGACTGTGACGGGTATAGGGGACTCACCCGTCAGTGGTTGTGTGTGAGGTATGAGCTGTGACTATGGCGGGTATAGGGGACTCACCCGTCAGTGGTTGTGTGTGAGGTATGAGCTGTGACGGTAGGGACTCACCCGTCAGTGGTTGTGTGTGAGGTATGAGCTGTGACTGTGACGGGTATAGGGGACTCACCCGTCAGTGGTTGTGTGTGAGGTATGAGCTGTGACTGTGACGGGTATAGGGGACTCACCCGTCTGTGGTTGTGTGTGAGGTATGAGCTGTGACTGTGACGGGTATAGGGGACTCACCCGTCAGTGGTTGTGTGTGAGGTATGAGCTGTGACTGTGACGGGTATAGGGGACTCACCCGTCTGTGGTTGTGTGTGAGGTATGAGCTGTGACTATGGCGGGTATAGGGGACTCACCCGTCAGTGGTTGTGTGTGAGGTATGAGCTGTGATGGTAGCGTAGGGACTCACCCGCCGGCTCGCACTTCTCCTTCTGCTTGAGTCTCCAGCCGTAAGCACACGAGCACTCGTACGACTGATAGCCCGGCTTGCAGAACTGACTGCAGCCTTTGCTCTTGTCTATCACACACAGCGTCTTATCTGTAGATGTGACAACACTCAATGAGTTACGTGACGATCGGGTCATAACAGCATCATGTAATAAAGACAATTCAGAAATATAACAGAAATTCTGAAATTTTACAGAAATACAGTTGTCAAATCTTAGGAGTTTTAAGGTAGAACTGTTGCGTGCATCATTTTGTTAAAGAGGTCATGAAATGCATTTCCAGATCTCTCTATTGTTTCTGGATGTTATGTTATTAGAACTGTTCGACACGCTGAAGCTCGGGTCGCCAGTGCACTTTTTATTTTACTCGCCAGAATTTAAACATGGAATGTAAAAATAAAAATTCTATATAAATATAATATAAAAGATACATTTCAAACTTTACTAAAGACAAGTAAACAGCCTGTAATAAAATAAGCACAAATAAACAAACTACAAGCAATAGCACAAGATTAGGGACTGAAATTGAATAAAGTAATCAAATGTAAAATAACTATAGGGCTGCCTAAGAGGTTTGGTCCACTAAGATTTTATTATCACTTGAAACATGTAAGTAGCATCAACTTTACAAGTCCTCTCGCTCTAATGCTAACCTAGATAAATATGCGCTGTTATTAGCGCGCTACATTGTTTAAAATTAATACATTTTTATCTAACTGGGATTTTTTATATGTACATTTCTGCAATACATAACTTAGACACAGTTCCCTCTGATAACAGATCACACTAATGTAGAAACATGCATTTTCTGTAAAGCTGCTTTGAAACGATGTGTATTGTGAAAAGCGCTATACAAATAAACATGAATTGAATTGTTTGTGTGCAGAGCTCTCACTGCATGACATACGGCGCGATCTCTTGCATTTAAATTAAAATAATCTGTCACTTCTGGTCATACAGATAAGAGTAATGCAAACTGTAAAGGGTCTACTTTTATTTCTGTAAACTCACTATAACAACAAAACGTTGTGCTTTTGTAAAATAATGAAAACAGTCAGGATGTGCTTTCTGCCGTCTCGGTTTCTGTGAACTCGAGTGTCAACAGTGACCAACATTTTCAATAAAACATCAACATCTAAACCTCTGTTAATTCTCAATAAGAGCTTCTGTAGACGTCTGATAGAGATAAAGTCAGTCTGGTCAGTAATAAGTGAAGCTGGTAATGCTGTTTGTGGAGTTGTTTAATCCTCCTCTGCTGAGATCTTCACAGATTTAATGACTTCTTCTCTTCAGTGGATTTCATCTAAGACTGTGACTGAATTCAGCTGTAGTTCTCAGCTGTGTTTCTCTTTCCTTCAGTGATTCTGCTCATTATCATCAAGTGTCACCACTAAGGGTCTGTTTAATACGACGCCGTTTTCAACTAAAAATTTAAAACTTTTTTTGCCGTTCATTTACACGACAACAGTGTTTTGGGGGACTGAAAATGCAAACTTTTGAGAACAGTCTCCGTGTAAACAACAGAAACGTGAATCTCTGAAGACGATGACATCATGCACATGCGTATTACGTGTTCAGTCTTCAGTGTTTCATCGCCATCTAGTGGCCTGGCAGCAGAATACAGCGTTTTCAGCCGTTTTCGCGGATCCGTGTGAATGGCGTCGTCTGTATGCGGAAAACTCAAAGGAAAAACTTCTCGTTTTAAGCATATCGCTGTTGTGTAAACGTACCCTAATGCTCAATCATCACTTAAGCAGTGTTAAAGAGATAATTAAGTGATTAATTAAGACTCTATAGAGGGGGACCATATGTACATGTGTTGATTTTAGTGTTGATTTGCTGTGTAGAACTCAAACGGAGGGAAGAATGCATATGGAGATGAGGATATTCATAGTAAAACTAGGCGCTGAAAGCACTATATATGGTTATTTCGGGAGGAGATGGGGTGAGGATGCATGCATGTATGACCAATCTTCCGCTGATAAGGATTTCTAAAGGCAATTTTGTGCAGGTTTTGGCATACGTACTTTAAGAATTATATTGACGCACAGTTTTATACACGAGGCCCCAGAATGGTGGAAATCAAAATGGTAATGTGTAAATGTCCTTATGTGTGAGTACATTTTGATTTTCCACTTCATGACCCCTTTAATGTGTACTTTTAAAAAGAGTTCAACATGCTCAAAAGCATCTCTTGTAAATATGCAGTGCAGTGAACAAATATTTAGGCTAATGCAGAGATGCATTGTTTTTATTTTTTGTGTATTAGATTTTTCTGGAAAGCAGACATAAACATGAATGAAGTGTTTCTAAAACATCATGGGTTGAGCTACATACCGGTCTCGCAGTGGATTCCTGCAAAGCCTGATTTGCAGATGCAGTCATAACCGCCCACACTATCTGAACACATGGCTCCGTTTTTGCACGGATGGTCCGCACACTGGTCACCATCTAGTGTGCAAGACATCATGAGGGATAACACACATGATACACAGAAAACATTATATATCCTGTAATGTATACAAACCAGACTACAGCATATCTTAAGCATTACTAAATGGTTCTTTGTAAGATTGATTATGACTGGTCAATCGCAGCATTTTCATGTTCAATACTGTTTTATGATATAATCATAACTATATAATCAACTGCTGTCCCAAGAAAGCCAACATCCTTCGGTAACCTTCATTTTACAGTGTCCTTGTTACACGTTACTTGAACTTACTATAGTAATAAAGAGTAAATTAAGCATAAATACATCCAAACCCTAATCCTATGTGCCAAAATCCCACTTGTCTATATTCGCTTCATTGGGCTTGTCTTCAGTCCAGCTCTAATCAAACACAGCTGAACCAGCTCTTCACGCTCTTCAGGATCGCTGGGAAAGCACAGGTGAGCTGAAGGAGCTTGGAAATACACTTGTCCAGGACAGGGTTGAAGACCTGCCATGGCTATCGATGTTTTTGAATTTTGGAAAGACAACTGACACCAGACTTCCTCACATGACCATCATTCATTTTTACACAAGTTTGTTTCTGCAGCATTCACAACTTACCGATGTAGACCGACCAGAAGATATCCTGTAAAGAAACAAACACAATCCATTTAGGTCTATGATTACAAGTGGAACTGTGAATATTAGCAAGAATACTAAATATCCCAATAATATTTCCTGGGATTTTGCCTATAACGATAATAATTGGTCCCTTGGTTTGGGCCTGTCATGAACGGCCGATTCCTGAAGCTTTTCATATTCGTCTTATTCTGTGCGGTGCTCGGAAATGTACAGATTTATTGGGTCACTGAATCACTGATCTGTTTAAGACACGGACTCGTTCAGTAATAAAGCACCGCTCGCACAGGCAAAACAGCTCTGCTGTGGTTACCAACCGTTTTTGTTTGACAAAACAAAGCAAAAGCAGAACATATTGACAATATTGGGCAATAAAAACAGCAACTCAAAACGACCAATTATTGTTTATTGTATATCACAAGCATGCTAATACGTGTGTGATACATTATACAGTCAAACCAAAAATTATTCAGACACCAGAAATAATTTATATTGTTTTACTAGTGTGTGCAGGACACTATAGTTCATTTATGTAAGTGAGGAGAGGAAAATAAAGTAAACTGTGACATATTATACCCAAAAACTCTTCATACAGAGACTACCAGTAAAATCTATACAAATTTGGGACCATAAATTATCCAGACACTTTGGGGCTGTTTACACCTGGTCACTTCATGCGTTTTCTGTGATCGGATGGCTATCCGATCGTGAAAAGACCAGTTGTAAATGCTCTCCGAAATGCATTCGAGACGGATTTGAATCCGATCGCTCAAACCACTTCAGGAGGTGGTCTGGGCCGCTTTCCAGACGAAACTGGACAAGTGTAAATGCATCTGGTTGTTGAAACCACATATGTAAATTTTACTCCACCCAAAAATGCCCAAAAATAAACGTGTGAGAGCGTGTTATATATCAAGCCAACGCACTGCAAACTATCACAAATCAAAGTGAAAGTCAGTCGCAGACGCTTCATTGAAAGTAAAGAAACGAAATGATCTTACCAGGGCTGTTGCCGCTCTCTCTTATTGCCGTCTTTGATTTTGAAATTAGCTGATGATCAATAAAATGCAGCTCATCTGTGCACTCCATTAAATCTGCATATAGCGTGGGAATTGAAGATCGGATTTATATCCGTTTTGCAAAAACACATTTATGTGACCAGGTGTAAATGGAATCGTTTTGATAAATCAGATAGCTATCCGATCTGAGAAAACGCATCAAGTGGCCAGGTGTAAACAGCCCCTTTGATCTGACCATGTTTTGCTGAAGTGTTTTTTCTTTAATTGCGAATGCAACGTTTTTACACACAGACTGAACAACATGAAGCATTGCTTGATCACTGGTTGAGCTAAACTGGTATTATCTAATTGTGTAGTTCAATTCAACAGCTGACAGATATTCAACATAATTCATGTGTGAGAGTCTAACAGAAGGACGGACAAAACCAGTGAAATATCAACTGATTTCATAACTCTGAGTTCTGCTCATATTTATTACCATTTTATAAACTATAGTGAATAAACTGTGATAATGTGAGAAATGTTGAAGGTGTCTGAATAAATGAAGGTTTGACAATTTGATACTGGACGGGTGGGGAAGGCTAGATCTCTCCGTGAATCTCTGCTCTCTCTCAAGGTGCGTTTCTGTGTGTTTCTTCAAAAGCGAGTGACGTCAGCTCGCACATTGTTAAACAATAGCTATCAGTTTTAAGGTAGATGACATCGCACAGCCCTACTGTGGACGGGTGATGGATCGACAGACTCACCGTGCGATAGTTGTCCTGGAAGACTTCTCTGGCCTCCTCGTAATCGCAGACCTCCTCTAGACACTCCCTCTCGAGGCTGGCGGGGAGTTTGGTCTCTTCGTCACCGGCGTTGCTTCTCTTCTGCCGGGAAATCACATTCAGCGCATCCCACTTCTCCAAGAACAGAGGGGCTGGAATACATACAAGGACAGCTGAGAAAACTACATTCTGCAATCTGCAAACACATATGAAAATGATTTCCTACAGTATGAATGGTAGACACTGAGAAATAGATAAAAATTATATTTATAGTGGTCAATTGATATATATATCATCACAGGGCCCATATGTGTGGCCGATGTGTCTGACGCAGGACCTTTATTTTGTCAGCGTGCGCACAGATTTATTAGGATTACAGAATCAAGAAGTTGCATTTTCTGCTTTTAGCATCTTTAAATGATATAGTGTGATATACAGTGGCCATCGGACACCCCGCCAATAACTAAGATATTGGCTATCAAAAAAAGTTAAATAAATAAATCATTATTGGTCGACTTCATGATATTTCAACTGAAATATCCAACCATGGTTTCTGGTTATGACCATCGAACACCTGCACATGTCTGAGAATCCACGGCTACCTCACGAAACATCACTTTAACATGTACCGGTACATGTCATACACATTTACACATGCTTTGGAGAGCATCTAATATTCATTGTTTATATTTCTTGATTTGCTTTATGAAACTAGTGGTGCTGTTAGACTACGCTCGTGAGTTCGGTGAAGTATCGAGGAAACAGGTTTACGCAGGATCACCCGAGAGAAAGACAACAAAAGAGAAAAACGAAAAATTCTGTTTATAGATTTTAAAACAATTAAATATATATAATGAGCGAGTGGGTAGTTGACGTGACGTGGCTTTTTCACCGTCACAGAAGATAAAAAATAATTCATTTCACATTTTCATCATTTAGAATACTGTAAATGGTTAAACATTTTCCTGTTTTACATGAATTTGTTATTTTAATACCAGAGTTATTTTTTATTTTTTTACAACTTTGAGCCAAATCTCAAAATTGTCCTATGGTGTGACGGGAGACAACATTATTTCATAAATATTAACTTTTATAAATAAAGAAAATAATGTTTAAAAATCTTAATGGACACTCCTGGCATATTTGTGCAAGTGTCTATTTCACTAAGTGGCCGATCATTTTCCTATACATAGCCTACATTTCTAAAAGTATGGGAATTTCATAAAGTTTGTCACAGAAATGCAATAACCTGATATTATGTTGGGCAATATCATGGCCAACTAAATTTAGTTGAAAGACCCCAATCAAGGTCATGTGACTGAAGACCCCTATGAAGCCCATGAGCAGTGCACATATTAAGTATTTCTCTCAGAATTGTTCAAATATTTAACTATGTTTTCAGACCACTGAAGTTGTTAAGTTTTTTTGTCCTTTCGTGTGACACCCCTAAATTAAATTTTTTAATTCAAATTTGTATTTTTAACAGCAGGACTATGTAATATTATGCAAATGTATCATGCCAATTGCTAATGACAGTTAAGCTAGCATTAGCATGGTTATTAACATGCCACAAAAGCTCAAATGTCCTTTGGTGTGACAGGAAATGTCCTTTGGTGTGACACTCTGGCCTGTCACACTATAGGACACAGATGTCACACAATAGGACAAGACCTCCTTAAGAAGCTATTAAAACAAATAGATAAAGTTTGTTAACATACTTTTCATTATTTTTTGACCAGTTTTGATGATTTTAAATTCAATAATGACTTACATTTTAATGTTTATTGCCATTTTTTGGACATTACATAAAATGTTCTGAAGTGTTACTAAAACAACTATAATGTATAATGTAACAACTATAAACAAATATAAAGTACATAAATACAGTGCTACTACTTTATAATACTACTTAACTTTTTTTAGAACAGAAAGAACTGAGGGAGAGATGAGTGCAAAAGAGAGGACCAGACAGTATAGAGAGCGAATTAAAAAGGATCCACAGAGAAAGGAGGCGATCCTAAGAGAACGACGGAGAAAGTAAATCAAACTGAAACTAGATTATTATTCTGTAATAACAAGCTTATTATGTAACTATTGTTGAACCTGAACCTGAACCTCACACAGGTCTATTCTGATACTGACCAATGTGTTTTATAAGAAATTGACAAGTAAGTTATTACATTTGTAGGGAAAACACAGTAGGTCATGAGTCCATAATTGAGTATACATAACATTAATTTCTCTGTTGATCCATTCATCTATATTCTATCATTATTTCAAACAGATATCATGAAAAGAAGGCTCTCTGGGAATTGGATACATTCAACATTAAAGCACTAGGAAGGAAGAGACAAACTAAACTTATGCAATGTTTTTAGGGATTTTATTTTCATGTCAGAAGCCATGTTTCCATCCACTTGTCAATCGAATTATCTGAACTTCGGTAAAAAACCTCATGCGAATAAAGCTGGTGAAAGTGTGTTTCCATCAAACGGCTTTAAAGCGGATTAAAACCTGTGCGTAATGACGACACATGCTGTTTTACGATCAAATTGGTATATCGAATTGATTTGAGACATTTTCCATTAATTTTCTCACCGAAGTGCACAACATTCAAGCAAACATTTGCGAACAAAGTTTTGCTAGACAAAATGGATCGCGCCATAATAACGTTTCCATCCACGTTTATCGCATAATCGATCAAGATAAAATCCGATGAGACCGAACGCATTTCATTTGAGTCGATATTCATGAAATTCAATCGAATTTTACTGTTTCCATCAGGCATTTTTCATTCGATATCACTTAATGCGGATAAAAACGTGTGGATGGAAACATAGCTAGTGTTTCCTTATTGATGGATCTATAAGTATCAAAGTTACTTTTGGTGTGATATGTTTTGCACAGTTTATATTGCTGAAAAATAAAAACAAATGTCCTCCTTTATAATTGTTACAATAAACACTATATATTCTGACTCTTTTTATTCAATGACTATCTTTGTCCTTTGGTGTGACGTTTTGTCCTATGGTGTGACAAACATAAAACAACAGAAAAATATACTTATTTTAAAATATCTTTTTAAAAAAGAGTCAAGTTTGCCATTAGGAGAGTTTCAATAATATCTCCTCTTAGATGGGTACAATTTCAAACAGTTTTGTAAGGTTGGCGAAATTTTTTATTGACATTCGTAGGGAAAAGTTGATCAAGTTCATCTATTCATGGTGAAAATTATTTTAATTTGTACTTTCATGTAAAATAAATATCACTTTCATAAAAAAATGTTTTAATAATGTGAACAATTCTCTCAATTATTTTTTATATGTTATTTAATATAATTTCTTAATACTTTTTAAATGTCACACCATAGGACACATTTACAGTAGTGTTGAGTGAAAACGTGAAAAAAATATGTGAAGCCATTGACAAAATGAGTGACCACTACTATTTTCTGAAACTGCAGTTTTCATACTCCATAAATATATGTATTTTTCTTAAAAAGTTATGTTTTCCAAAAAAAGTACTTTTTCTTGGCCATTTGTCAACTACCCGAGTACATCATGGATCTTTCAACCCGTGTTTTTATCCTGAATCACTACGGTACACTTGGGGTTATTTTAGACTGGTTCGGGTCAGAGTATCAGTGCCTGTGTGTAATGTTCTTCTGCAAGACACAGTTCGGTTTATTAACCGCTAGAGCGCCAAGAGTTACATAGAGTACCTTTAAAAGCTAGATATTAAAATACTCTACTGGCCAACATTTGATGCCGTTTTTCAAAATCGAGTTTATCAGCAATGGCCAGCAGGACACAGAAAACATGGGCCAATTGTAATAAAGCTGCTCCACAATAGGGATGCTGTCAGAATCATAATAAAACCCAACTCCAGGGTTATGATCTCTGGAAGAACTGACTTTGAAATTAACTATCCCTATTTCTTTACTGACTATTTACTTGTCTTCAATAATCGACTTTCATCACATAAATGTAGACTTGAAGTCGTTCAGCCCCTGGTGTATAGTAGCATATTATAAAACGGTGTGTAATATAACAACATATTCAGTATATTTGATTACAGTATATTTATTAAATTCATAAATGGATGCTGCCTTATTGGGACATTACTTGTTCCTGTTCCTAAAGCCCTCCTCTACCCCACCCAATAAACACTTTTATTGTGTTTTTTGATAATTATGGTTAATATGCTGTTAAATCAGTGCATTTTATTGACGTTCAGCTATGGAACATAGGGGATGGGACCTTAGTAAAGCTTTTGATGTGAAGCAATAACTTGTTTTAATGATTTATTGCTTGTTCAAGTAAATGCAACAATATATAAATTGTGAATGTTTAGTCTACTTGTCTTTTAAGTTGCCCATAGTTAAATATTTAAGTTAATTCGATGGGAAGACCACATTAGGTGAACTTGATATAACTCTTTCTTTCATTGAGTAAAACTTGTTCTAAGACACTTATTTAGGGTTACAGTGATTAAGTAAGAGATGATGATCGGGACACGCATTCACAGGCCGACCGGTATCCGTTCTTGCCATTCATTGAAGTTTGAGCAAGAATTATCGTGTTTTTTTCACTGATGTTAGAGTTTATCTTAAAGACTGTGGCCTATCCACCTTTCCCTGTAAACAAGCCGATGCACTTGTTAGATCTATGAATGCATACGCATTTCAAAAACTGGCTACCCCATAACCATCAAAATGTCACCTAGAAGCATTAAAGTATTAACAATTTACTTTTAGAGGGACATTAATAACCCCAAAAGCTCAGATGAGTCTTTCCACAGCATATTACGGACGTGACTTATATTACTACAGTAATATTTGTCTAATGTTGCTTTGGCCAAAAATTTTCCTACATTAACAGGAACATTATAGTGCTTTCAGTCATTTTGACAGCAAATATTGTATTTTCCTGCATTCCAGTAAACAATGCTGATAGAGTTTAGAAGTGAAAGGGGAGATAAAATTACATTAAGCACTCGTGTGAAAACCGACCGGGAAAGAGACGTGAATGAGGATTTGGCGGGAAAACGAGATTCTTAGTGCATTTCGTTAAATTAAAGCAGGAAATCAGACCACAAAAGCAGTTTCTGTGTCTTTTTCATATTGATAAGCTGAAAGCAAAGCAGAACAATA